AACCCCCCCCGTTTTTGGGCTCCCCCCCCTTCCCCCCCAGCCCCGAATTTCTCTTCCCTCCCCCCCCTTCAATTCGTTTCAAAATAGACCCCCCCCCCCAACGCATCCCTTCAGAGCCCAGTGGGCCAACCTGCTTCTGACCCCTGGCGTTTCTTGCAAGTCTGAGCCTCCCATGGGTCTCCCCTCACTCTCGATCCAGGCCAGAGTGGCTGGGGCTGATGGGAACTGGGAGTGGGGCTGCTATGCCAGGGTACTCACACGCTTCAGGTCCTTGAGGCGGTTGTACTCCTCCGCCACGCCCTGCCAGAGAAACACCAGAGTTGGGAGGGGAACAGACCGGGGGACACAAAATGGAGCTTCCACGTTCAGCAGCAGTGCAGCCCAGAGCAAGCCAGGAAGATCCGTGGGCAGCTGTGTGCCAGGACCCGTGCCAGGAGCTGTACTGTTGGCAGTGGCCCTCTCCACCCGAGTCCGCAGCGGAGACAGCAGCCCAAGGTGGCGAGAGAGGTCTGGGCCGAGACCTTTGGCTGTCAGGCTGGACTCTAGCACTGACTCGGGGAGAGGGTCTGCCAGGGGGCCCGGAGGAGCGCACTGGGAAAACAAGGGCGAGGCCAGCGGGCCCCAGGCACAGCTCTAGCTTGCCCCTCGCATGCCCCACGCTCGGCTTGCAGCCTGCATGATGGCAGCTGCAGGGCAGCCACGGGGTTACCTGGCGGCGACTGTGCAACAGAACGGCCTTTTCCACAAATGCCCAGGTAAAGATGGGCAGACCTGGCAGGCAATGAGCCGGCCCTGTCTCTCCCAGAGACGTCTTGGGCAGGGGCCCCTCCCAGCGGCTGCTTCCTTTAGCCACGGTAGGGCGGGCCCTGCTCCCCGGGGGCCACAGCTTCCTGTCTTTTGGGGGCCCACCTGGTACTGGAGGGTGTCCTCTGACAAGTGGTCCAGTTGCTTGCTGAGCTGGTTGATCTGGTCGTTGATGCCGTCCATCTCGGCACAAAGCTGCTTGTAGCGCTTGAGGTCAGTGTCAAAATCCTGCTTGTATTTCTGGCGGGCATTGTCGGACATGATCGGCGGGTAGTGGCTGCGGGGAGAAAGCGGGGAGGTTCAGCCCAGAACAAGGTGGCACGAGGCCACCCCCGAGGCCAGCCCGGCCCTACAACTGGCAAGGGTGGCAAGGCGCTGTGGCAAGCAGAGGAAAGCCAAACAGCGGGCAGTTCTTCCTGCTTGCACTTCGGGGGCTCGGAGTTCCACTTTCTGGATGACGAGAGCTCTGGGGGACGGCCAAACCAGAGAGGGCTCGCGGCAGGGCACGATCCGTGAGCCCCATGGCAGAGAACAGCCCCAGCAAGACTGAGAGATGGGGTTCATTCTACGTGGCGATTAAATGGGCTCCCCAAAATTCAGGCCACTTACAGACTGGGACCTGCCCACATTTCCCACCCTCCTTCGGTGCCTTTCCTGCTGCCAACCTCTCTCGCCCAGGACTTCAGCTGTCTCCGCCAGCACCAGCTGCCAAATCCCAGGGCCTCCTGAAATCCCCCCGCCAGCCTGGCCCGTGGCCTGCCTTCCCGGGTCCCCACGCCCCAGCCCACTCCTCTCTACCTGCCTGCCCAAAGGCCTCTTCCCGGCGTCTCTGCCGGCCCCGTGGGGTTTTTGGCCCCCACGGGGCTCCTCCTCCCCCTGCCCCAAAGGGAGAGGTCCCTTAATTCGGGGGTTGAAGGTGGGCCTGTCACCCCCGAGGGCTGGGCTGGCTTGTTGTGACGGTGCGGCTGCTCACCCAGATGACCCACGGGGGAAGTTCTCCCACTGCAGCCCCCGTGATTTCTTGCCCAGGATGTTTAGATGTGATCGGGAAGTCTGTGCTTCGCTTAAGCCATTAAAAGAAAAATCCATCATGGTTTTATGGCTATTGTTGCATCTTTGCAGGACCAGAGAAATTGCTCCCAAGGCATCAGGATGGGACCCCCCGGAGGAAGCTGCTTGTGGAAACCAGATGCTCGGCTGATTTCTCTGAACGTATTATTATAATGCAGCTTATTAATATGATGTGCTTTGCGTTGTTGTAAACTGCGTTTGCAAAGCACTTAGAGAGGAGCCAAACGGCCCTTCGGCTCCGAGCCCCCCCTCCCCGCTTCAATTTCTCTTGCTCCCCCATTCTGGCCCTTCCTCGCAAGGCCCCGGGGGCCACAGTGGCCTCACCTGCCCCACTCGTCCGCGTCCTGCTCGTCGCTGGACTCCACCGCCGTCGTGTAGTCGGTCTCGTACTGGGACTCGTCCAGTTCCGGGTTCCTCCTCCGCCCCCTCCTGCCCCTGCGGGCAGGGGGCTTGCTGGGGCTCCCCCGGGTCTTCTCTTCCCAAGTGCTGGAGCTCAAGGTCCGAGCGCGCTTGTCCGGGGACGGGTGGAAGGGCGAGCTGGGGAGGCCCAGAGCAGACCTGAAGTCAACATCCCGAGAAGCCAGAGCCGCGTTTTATGGAGACGGCCGTTAGTAAGAGACTCCCGCAAGCCCGACTGCGCCAGGCCTCCTCCGCCTTGCGCCCCAGACAGTTGGGGAGGTGCCGGCCCGATCCGCGTCTGCGTGTTAGCTCGCCTCCCCGGACTTAGGGCTTCCTCCTTTGCCTGTCAACGGCTCTTGGTCCTTCTGCCAAGGTCACCTCCACTACTCTCTACAGACCCACCCGCGTCTCAAGGATCGGGGGGCAGCCAGGGGAGGACGAGGCCGACTGACAGAGGAGGACCCCTCCGTCAACAGCGACCAGCCTGCATAGCTCAGCATATAAATATGATAAATAAAATAAATAAAAACGGAGCCCCCTTATCCAGAAGCAGTCTACCCCTCCTTGATATTAGACAACATGAGACGAACAGGCAGAAGGTCTGCCTGTGGCGCTGCCTGTTCACTGCGGATGGGCGCAAGGGCTCTTCCTTGGCTCTCTCCGCCAGGGCAGGGGCAGCAGCCCTTAATGCCCATCTGCCAAGCCGCCTGCCCCCCCAGAATCTAGGGGGAGAAGAGTGGGTCCGATCGAGTTTCAGGGCTGCTCCACGGGCCCAGATCGTTCAGTGGAACTTCCACGTGCAGCTGCACTCTTCCTCTCAGCACTAAAGAGGGCACTGCCAGGAGCGGTGCTGGCGACAGTCATATCCCAGCCCAGTCCTGCCGCCGCCGCCTCGGCTCTGCTGGGAGGGTCCCCCGGGTCCAGAGGTTGGGAAACCCTCCCCCCTCCCTGCTCACCTGTTCTGGACCTCCGCGTGGGAGTAGTCGTTCTCTACAGCTCTGTAGTGGGGGGGGCTGGCGGGAGCATTGACGGGGCTGGTGGGCTTCTCGGAGTACGCCAAGGTGGCCGTATCGGTGGGGCTGGCTCGGTCATCAACGTTCTTCACCTGCGAAGGGGCAACGGGCACTCCTCAGCTCCCCAGAGGCCCCCAAGCTTGGGGTCCCGAACACGGACCCCTGGCCACAGCCTCTCCCGGCCTCAGGTGGAAACTACACCTCCCAGAATCCCCAGCTAACACGGCTTTTAGCAAACTCAGCCGGGATCTCTGGTGCCCCCAAGCGGAGTTCCCTCCATAGGAGGCACAGGGCTTAGCATGCCCCAAAACATTGTTTCCCATCGCTAGGAGGGCAACCTTTCCTGCCAAATGGGCAGAGCTCAACCCAGAGAAGATGGAGCAGTGGCTGGAAAATGGAAGTGGGGAAGAGGACGGGGACCCGGGACGGAGGCAAGAGCTCACCGCAACGCCCCTCGAGCCACGCTCGCCTGCTGGAATTGGCCACGCGCCGGGCAACTACGCTGCCTTGACGCAAGCCCGGGCTTTCTGCACAGACCTGCTGGGCCTTCCTGGCCCCACCACAGCTCCCCGAAGTTTGGATCTGCTGCCACCCTGGCAAGGCCGGGTCTCCTCCTCCCCACTGTCCCTTGGCTGCTGCCCCTGCTCCAGCTGTCCCCACAGGGCCCTGGGTCCGAGACCCAGCTGGCTTCCACAATGCCTTGTGCTCATCCGGGCGCTTCCACCCTGGCACGAACCCTGGCTGGGTGCCAGCTGGAGCAGCGGCAGCAGCCGGTCTTGGCTACGTGTCGAGGGGCAGTTGCTCGGGCACGCCTTCCGCAGGAGGGAGGGATCTGTTCCCCCGTCCCCCGCCCTTTCCTTCTGGGCTCTTTGGGGAAGAGTCGCCCAGGAGTTTGGATCGTGGCCGGCCACAAGGCAAAAAAAATCAGCAGCCTGGCCGCACCTTTTCTGACTCGCAGATTTCATTAAAAGGCAGCAGCTTTCTTGAGTGGGTACCAGACTCTTGAAGTTTGGGATCGCAGACCAAGAAAGCGTCTTGGGGGGCTTTCTCCCAGGGCGGCACCCTCGACCCAAGGAGATGCCCTCTGCGGTGCAGCCCTCCCCACTGGCCCCGGGGCTGACTCTGTGCCAGAGGGCAAGGCTCGCTATGGTCCAGGGCCTGCTCGGAGCCTTGAGAAGCGGCTCCCCACTTCTCCCGCCCCATCCCAGACAGAGTCCTGGGGAGCCAAGGGCCGTCCTCTTGGGGGCCTGCCATTCCTGCCCTCGAGGGCCCTGGAATCCTCCTCCCTGCAGGCCTGTAAAACCTCCGGGCCTCCGGAAGGAGCAGTGGGAGGTCAAAGTCCTGTGCCTCTCCCCGCAAGAGTTGGGGAGCCAGAGGGGGCTCCCGAAATGGGGGACAAATGTCCACCGGGGCCAGAGCACTTTCGCCTTCGGGGGATGCACAAGCCAAGCCCTTGCGCTTTGGGTCCTGAGGGCCCCTCCGCTGCCAGACCGGCCACCTGATGCTGTGCTTACAGCAGCGGCACCTTTGGGGCGGCCTCAGCGGTTAATCATTGATGCAACCGAAACCAGAGAATGCCATAAACAATGTCTGTGCGAAGAGAGACCTCTCGATTTCACACACACACACACACACACGGCTGTTCAGTGTAGGTGGCAGGCTTGTAAAAATGTTGCTGTTGTTACATAGCAGGAAATAGGAGGGGGAATTTAGGGAAATAATAGTGAAAGAAATGTCAGGGGGGGAAGGAAGAGAGAGTGTCATAAAAAGAGCAGCAGGAAGAAAAATGATCAAAATAAAAAAGGAGGCTGGGCATTTCCTCCTTAGTTCAGTCATACAGACCAGGAACAACAGAGACAGGGTTACCCAGGTGTCTCTTCCTAACCACGATGGTGCCAAAATGACGAAATGGGCACTGCGGTGTCACAAACAAGCTCAACTCTTTTGCACTTCTGTGCAACTTTGCACAGTGGCAGAGTTTGCAATGCACATTTTCCCCTTGTCCCTGCCTAAAGAGGCCTATGGAGGATTCATGGGTCAGAGAGGAAGCCCCCCTTCCCAAAATGATTGCATTGGTTGTGGGGGGGGAGGTATGCCCATAAAGCTGCCCCATTTTTCCCTTCCAAGCCTGGGCCCAGCCCAAACTCCCCGAAGGGGGAAGGCTGGCGGATGGCCAGGCGCTGCCAAAGGAGCCCAGGGTGTGAACTGCAGCTGCCCTCCCCCAGGGCTGGGGGGGGCTTGTGTGCACGAGGAGGCCACAGGTCGCCCCTGCTCCCACTCACCCATTCCTCCACATTGGGACCCTCCTCTGGTGCCGGCGGCCGGTCCCAGTAAATGTTGTGCTTCCCAAACCGCCAGATCTTTTGGCGCGTCTTGTGGGCGAAGAAGCAGATGACGCACAGCAGGATCACCAAGAGGAAGCCGCAGACAATGGCGATAGCCTGGGGGACGAGGAAGCAAAGGGGGAGAGTCAAACCTGTTTGAAATCTCCTGCCCACCCCCCAATTCCCGACAGCAAACTGCAGCCCCCGTCCATCCAAAGGGACTTTTGGCTCACGTTCAGTAAGAAAACCTCTCCGGAGCTGGGCCTGCAGAGCAAGGAGGGCCCCTCCCAGCCCCGCAGGCACCCAGGGCAGGCCACAAGGATGCTGAGCGTGTCAGCCAGGGACCAATCAAGCATTTCACACCATCGTGGCTCATGTGAGGCCACCGGCCTTTCTTGGCCTCCTTGTGGACCATCCCATATCTGTGCCATTCGCCCCAAAGTCCTCAAGATGCCAACATTTAACCTTGTGACAAATGAGAAGACCCATTTTCTGGGTTGGCACAAGTCCCTGGGAACAATCCACCAAAAAGGCTTGAAATTCTCCAAGCTGCGCCTGCTGCGCAAACATGGGACCTTTGGTGACGTGGGTCAGTGCATCCCTGAGGCTTGTCAAAATGGGCCAGCTGGGAATGAAAAGGTAGAAATGGGGAACCTGCGTGACCCCACCCTGAGGGCAAAGCTTCCTTGTCTACACCTGAACCGAAGGACGCTCCCCCCCTGCCTGGAGGGCTCACAAACCAACCAGCCAGCCATGCCCAGATACAGCTCAGCCCCCCAAATCCTCCCCAAACCTTCTTCCCTCCCAGGCCTGAAGCACCATGCCCCAAAGGCTGCTGGCCACTGGCGAGTCTGGCCTGGGCCCTG